TTATAACAGATGAAAGGCAGAATAGTTTTCATACTTGGGAAACCTACTAGTATTATAAGGAGTTCTTCATGTGTAGTATCTTGGATCCTCTTCAGGCTCAAGTCCTTCTGCACAAATACGCGCACCTTCTTGCTCATGAAGCTGCCAGGCCACGAGTAGAGAACTACTGGGGTCCCATGGTGCATGGCATGCTGGGGCAATGTATTTCCACCATGGGTATCCATGGGGAATCGATTCCGGATGCCCAGAACATACCCTGTGGATCCCTGTGGTAGTTTTACACTGGCGAATTCTGACACCTCGGCGGATACTGTACCATATTACCTTCCCTGTCGTGGTCGGAGTAAGCCTCTACAGCTTTACCCACATGGGTGAAGCATTGGGAAGCACTTTAATTCATTGATGAGGACTACTTCTGCCAGGTCTGAATGATCAACGTCAGACCCTTCTGATTTGGAATCTCATGCAGAGGTTTTACACTCCAAACATGGGCAGCCTTCCTCACCAACGCGTCGAAAAGACATATTCACTCTCCTCTCTCCCCGCGCGGCCCTCTACTCTCCAAGGTGGGTGGTGAACCGTTGGCTTCACCCTTATGCCCCTTGGCACCACGACCGGGGGGCCCTGTGGATCCATTCGTCTTTTGCTGTTCTTTTATTCGCGGATGCCAGCCCAGCCCCATACAGGAATGCCAAGAACCTGTTGAGAAGGTTCCCCCCAGTGTGGCGCCTCCAATCTCGCAAAACGGTGCGTCTCCGCGGCAAGCGCTTTTGCACCTATCGATTTATATATTACTTAATGAAGAGGACACACAACACGTTCATGCCAAGCCTTTCGATGAGGCACTCCTCCATGACCTTGGGAACAATCAATTAAGATTTGTCAGTTGACACTACTCACTATCCTCCAAGTTGGAAATGGTGGGGGAAACGCGTTTTCTGCTACAAACGTGAACGCCAGAGTACCATGTGGTATTTCATTGGGTGTGTTCCATGTTCGATCGGGTCGGTAACTAGTGTCGACCGTTTTTTTTCCTCTGGATGTTCATGTCTTCAGATCCGAATTCTGCTGGACCTACCAGGGTGGAGCCTGTCTTTTAGTTGGCAGAACCATGCAAAACCTCTCCGTGCTGGCAGAAGGATGCAGAAGGAAACAACCTGCTTCCCTCAAGTGCCCCGCTTTCGTTGTTGATTTCTCCGAGGACTTCCTAACGCCTTACTTCGCCGGCCAGCTGAGATGACGGGCCAAAAACTAAAAACGCCAGATTTGCACCCAAGCAGAAAGAGAAGAAACAAAGAGCGCACAAGCATCAGAGTGTTAGGCTGGGGGATTTGTTGGAACAGGGATTCATGGGTTGGTGACTTCGACTGTTTCAGCCCGCCGACCAACGGTGCGGTGGCTTTCGGTTGGTCGGCGGCGAGGATCGAGACCACTCACGTGTCGACATGTGGTCTCAGCGAGACATCGAAGACCGAGATGGGAGGAATGCTTCACAGAAAGTCAGCTGATGTGACAAATGGAGGTAAGAGACCACATGAGATCACGATCCTTCGCAAAATCAGTGGGTCTCAAATGCGTCCTGCCCCTCCTCTACGTGGTAGATATGAGTTGGGACAGGGGTCCTCAAGAGGCTGGGAGGTCCAGGTGCCACACCCAATCATATTGGCGCCAGCTTTTCCTCGCAGGAGGGACCAAGCGGCAGCGGTGAGAGGTCTGGATGAGCCTCGTTGGCGTCTCGAACTTCAGAGCTCAAGGAGTTACCTGCCCCCCCCAAAAAGCCGTAAGGAACTGGAACTAAGGAACAACGAACCACCATAGCCAAAGTCGAGAACAGTTTTTGGGAAGACTGCTTTCCTCAGCTTTCCTCTATAATTGGAAGCAGGAGCTTTACCAGTTCCACGTTGCACAGACGATGCGTCCATATGTGTTCTTCATATATATATATATAACTGTGCCAAGATGAGCATAGAAACTGGCAGACCACCTCCAGTTGAGGAGAGTTGTTCTTCTCAAAAGCCGGCTCTCTCGGTTTCCATGTTTGTACCTGTGCCTGTATACTAAGGAGTGCATCAAGGATGCATCTCAGATGAATTTGCTTGATACTATGTTGTTTGATCCTTCGGTGCACAGTTTGTTGCTAGATGGTAGGTCCAATGTGCACTGCGGGCTGAATGCAACTTTTGCAGTGCCGCATGCACGCATGTTTATCAATATCCAAAACTTGTTGTGGGTGACATCACGCAGAATAAGGCTGAAATAGTGGCAACGATTGATCTCTCATGGTTTAACTTTAGCTCGTGTTGCTGCAATTACATGGTCCGTCCACATCCACATTTGCAAGTTAAAAGGAATTCATACTTAGTATGATTCGGTTGGTTGAAAGACTTCCGCACTTGGAACAACGCTGCTTGCACGATTTGTGGGGCAGATCCCCACAGCTGTGCCATTTCTTTCAAGTGCTGGTCACAGGTGCGATGATAGTTGATGCTGAGACAGCCCATATCCAGGTCCAGCCGCGTTTGTTAGAAGGACACCGGAGTTTGGTTATTATAATGCACAAGCAATTTTTTTAAAATAGTGATTGAGAAGATGTTCTCTTCCTACTAGGTGTTTCTAGGTGGGGCGCGAACCCCCTTGCTAAGGGTGAACCCACTTCACTTGGGGCAGTGGAATGCAGCTAAGTGTTTCCCATACGAGGCTGCCATCCAAGGACAGCGTCGGGCCCCGTAGTAAGTAGGACCGCGATTGCGCGGCCTTTGCGGCTCAGTAGTTGAGGGCATTGGATGCCTGGCCCACCTTGATCGGTTTCGAAACGGCCGGAGTCAAGGTCATCGGGCTATCCCTTCCACCTAGGACACCAGTCCAAAGGTAAGCTTCACTAGCAAATGGATTCCTAGGTCAGTTGTCATCATTGCGAGGTGCTTCACAAGACGAGCAATTTGACTTTAAAAGGGTTGGAATCGGTCACTTCTTCTCCGTGTTTATATGCCGAATCGGCTCACAACTTCAGTTTCTGGACATGGACATGTGGACATGGACATGGACCGGTGGAATCCCTTTTGGAACCAACGAAGGTTCGTTCATCTCAAGGAGCTGATGACCATCCTGGCCTGGTCGCTCTGTGTCCGGAAATCGTTTGGAGGATTCGTTCAAACCGGGTGAAAACCATCCGATCTCGTCATTGGCAGCCAGCGTGTCTTATGTTGTTGTTATACATGTCATTGGGCACCAAGCAGTTGTTGTAATTCTTCAACCTGCATGGAGCTTGAAGCGACCTTTTACAACACCAGCTGCCTCTAGGCCCTAGGCCTTGGGACTTCCCAGGGGGTGGCCTTGGCCACCCAGTCGCAATCTGCTCTTAGCTCTCTTAGGATCTCTTAGGATTAGTCCGACCAGCGCCACGTGCCGCGGTGGAGCGTTTTCCGGACGGTTTTCGGCGGTTTCGGCAAGCCGCCACTGGCCGGCCGTCCATACTAGAGCTCCAAGCACGGTGCCGCAGGCCACATGCGAGGGCGGGGGGGACAGGCCATGACAGGCCAACGGGCCAAAGAAGCAAAGCCACAGGTGAAACCCAATCTGAGTACATTGGGGTGGTGGTCTAGTATTTATGTGGGGGATGGTCGGCGATGGTTTAAACTAAAGATGCCAGCCAGTATATGCAAATTGAGATGTGATACATTTTGGAAACTCCTCTCTACGTATGTGGAAAGGGATTGAATCTGCTTCATTGAGGCGTCTCTCGTGTGAGCTCCAAGATCCCCCATCGTTTGAACCTCTACTGAATGTTCATTCCCTTTCGGCATGTGAGAGCCAACCCCTGTGCACCGGAAATCCTGGACGAACAGACAGACAGACCGAACCGTGGCGTCAATGCTTTTCTCTAAAAAATGGCTGTGGCGTCAAGTGAGACGGTCTAGCCCCGGGCACGAGCGCTAAGTCCGAGGTTTTTTCTGTCTGATCCGTCCCCCCCTCTCCCTTTGGCCGGTCCATTGGCGAAAATGGGCGTGAACTTGCGGAGAGGGAGCTGCCTATGTTCGGCCCTAGTTTCGGCCCTATCCACCTGAGTTTCAGTTGCGCGGTTTCGGAAGGGGATGAACTGGTTCGCTCGTGCCCCAGTGGCGCTGTTTCGGGGTAGTTGGTCATGTGATGCAGCGCAATTTCGTAGCGTGGTGCACGGTGAATTTCGACATGGTGGCGCAGTGACGCGGTGATTTGTTCACGTGGTGAGAGGTTCACTTCACGCAATTTGTGACAGAGTGATCTGATCGTTGACGACCAGTGTTGTGCAATGTCACCCAGAGTGACTTGTAAAATGAGCTGTGGGCAACTGTGCAGTAGTGTGAAGTGTCCTTCGGCGAAGTCGAACGCGGACGCGAGTGAATCCGGTGTACATGGCAAACATGTGCGAGCCTTAGATATTTGGGAACAGCAGGTGCTGTCATGCACAGTGCGAGGTCAAACATGTTGAATTGGTTGGAGCCCTTGCTGGGTGCATTTGGGGCAGGAGAGACATGTTGAATTTGTTGCAAGCCCTTTGCTGGGTTGGTGTCTGAGGGACAGGAGTATGGGCTGCGGGTTCAAATCAGCAGTCAGCTCAGAATGATTGAAAAAGACAGCCATAGACAGCCAACCCTGCCCCAACCGGGTTTCCTGTGGGTATATAATGAGGCCATAAAGCAATTGTTTGTATAATATGGTTTTGTCATATTTAGCCGAAAAAGAGGACAGAGGCCTGATGGGTCAGACGCCTGCATGCCCACAAAGGAAGCTAGCAGAACAAGTGCAAGCAGTCGGTGGATTCAGTCACCAAGGGATGCCATAAAGAGCCCCAAACACTTTCATTGCAGATGCCCTTGATCCCCCTAATCGATATTGATCCAACAAGTTGCAGACGGCAAATCCACACTCGTTTCACGATTCCAGTATATAATCGTACTTGTTTCGTGAACATGTGGCATCACTGCAGGTTTTCCTCACCTCCACAGGGCATTTCCATCATCATATTCCACGTGAGTTCGGTTCACACGCCGCTTCTCTCCGCCATGCTGCGCCGCGCGGCGCTGGTGCTCGCACCCTGTGCGATAGGCGACGCGCGATCGACCCGTGCGATCGCCCCGGACGCAAAGGTCGACAGCACCGACCCCCCCAAACAATCGTGTTGGGATCCTCCCTTTGCGGCTGCCACCCCACATCTGGTCCTCCAGTCGGATGCGCAAAGCGCCTCCCTCGCGCCCTTCCCGCCCCTTCGCACCGGGAGCCGGCTTGGGCGCCGCGGCACCGGGCCGCCTCGCAGGCGTCGTGGTGCTGTGCACCGACCGCCGGGTGCTGCTCCTGCGCCTGACCGAGGCCGCGCAACAGGCGGAAGAGGCGGACGTTCGCGGGGGGACAGGTGGTACTGGTGCGGTACTGGTCGACTGGGGCGGTGTGTAGGGTGGAACAAAGGTCCTATTTCCACAAGTCTCCTGTTTGAAAGCCTTTCTTCCGCAACTACTCCTCAGAAACTATTCTTCAGAAACTGGTTCGCGATCTTCAGAAACCATTTCGCGATCTTCGGAAACTTATGTGCATGCTTTAGAAAGTATTCTTCAGAACCTGTACAATATTGTAACCAAATTGCATGAAGGAGCGCTGGCTGGGTGGCTGGGCGATTGACCTTGTGACAGCTACGGCAGCTACGGTATATTATACAGGCGTATTTTGCAAACTTTGTTGCTCTTCGACTCTTCGGCGTTAGTTTCTGAAGAAAAGCGTAAAGTTTCCGAAGATCACCTTTTAGTGTCCGAAGAAAACTTTGACTGTGTAGGGTGCAAAGGAGGAGGTGAAACATGGTGAAGCCGAAGAGACAATGGGACATGGTGGAAAAGAAAGATCTTGGAGGATGGAGAGTGTTTTGGACCAAGCTGCATGTCAGAATGATTTGGTGAAATGACATTGGAAGTTTGGAGTGGGCAAGCCTAATTGTGCAAGGACTTGACCAGTTTTCTTAGCAGTCTATTTTTAACGTGGGAGGACGATCCAAGTAAGTTATCCTGTAGTTTGCCACCATGATTGATCGATGAGTATTCTACCAGGACCCTCCAACAGGTTACCACCTGCGACTTATAAGTCTCCAAAAGCCACCAGAGGAGACCTGTTGGAGGTGCTGGTATGGTACTCTAAGGGCGCAGCTCAGCTTGAGTCTTAAACCGGGCCCCAAAGATGTCCCAAGCGCCTGCGATGCCCTCTGCCAGAACCTTCCGCACTGGGCCCTTTTGTTGGCACTGGGCATTCCCAGCATGAACCTTCTGTGTTCGGCATGTTTGGGGGGCGACGCAGGCTGGGATTTCGATAGTTCTTTCTTGGGGATTCTAAAGTCTAAAGGGACAAAGAACCATAAATATACTGCTGCCTTGCGGAGGTCGGAGTGTAGCCTCCTGAAAAGCATTCGACGCAAGTTCGATGGTTCGCCAAGTTAGGCCATGGCCTCTTGTAGACTCTCGTTGAATGAGCCCACCCATTTGGATTGTAACCGTTTTTTTCATTGGAGGGTTTTATCAATCCAAGATACATGACTTACAATTGCTCCAGTGTTTGTCACCCGCAGCCCAGTTGGGTCCTGCTGGTTTGGTCGGCTATGTGCTGTGCTTCGTGGTGGCCACCCTGATGATGATTCCCACAGGTGCCGTTGGATGATCTGGACACCGGAGCGGGCTGATCGATGCTGGGAGGAACTGACGTTTAAAGGAGATGTTTTGTTCCTGATTTGAAGGGCTAGTGGCTAGTTCTTGCTTTTGTTTGCTTGATCAGCTGCTTTTAAGCCCAACCAAATATTCAGCAAGGTCATGTCGCGGCCCTACAGAACGAAGGATCAACAGCACAGAACACAAAAAGACTGCCCCAAACCGGAGCAAATACCGTGTCATCGTCTACTCTTTGTTTCCATTGTCCCATGTGACAAATGTGGTGCACAATGTGCACTTCTATGACTAGGGTTTTGCTTGTTCACAGCCAGCGGCAAAAGACTCTCGGAGCCGATTCTCTTTACAAAAGGTTCGTGGGAAAAATTGGAGAATGACCAACCAACAGAGCCACTCCAGAAACGTCCACGGATTTTTTCCATCTTTTCAACCCAAAGGCCCTAGGTTTTGTCTCACGCGCACATCATGGGACTTACCCTTTAACTCGAGTGATGCGGGTCATTGGAATAGCCGCTGGCCCTTCTACATCAGTTCTGCAGTGTGTGGTCCTTGGTCCCCAGGGCCCTTAGAGATGGCGGCGGGGCTGCTCTTCACCGGCCGCTATGGTTTATCCGGGGCCATCGCCCTGGCTGCGGCGGCGAAACAGATCTCAGGCGTGCGGGCCCAAACGAGGAGTTATATAGGTAATGAGGACCTTAAGAAACGAAGCAAAGTGAGGCATCCCATTGTTTATGGATTGATACACTGGCCAAAAGGATTTCACTGGTGGACGGTGGAGATCACTCAAATGGATCTTCCCAGCAGGCTGTTCGTGGGCTGCCCTGCGTGAGGCAGTGTGGGCTATTTGCTGGGCCGCACCCTCTTCCGAGAGCCACTTGGTGGAGATGGTGCACGTGGTGATTCAAGTGCAAGCAGGGCACTTAAAGAGGAAATCAATCATGGGGATTCCAGCGCCCTCCAACAGGTGTTTCCTGGTGGCAACAGGTGCCCAGAAACCGCCTGTTAGTGTCCCAAAATGGCCTGTTGGAGGGTCCTGGTTTGGGAATTTGATGCAGATCAGCAGGTGCAGGACCCTCATAGGCCAATGAGGAGTCATGAAGCGTCATGAATCAATGAAACGTCACTGTGACTTGAGTGATGGCTTGGACCCCCATCCACAAGTTCATCCTGCATACCGAGCTGTACCCCAGGATCTTCCAACGGGTGGTGTTTTGATGCATGTTTGGATCATTTTGCTTGTGGAGCAAGTGTCCAGCAGCAAATATCCACGAACATGGCCAAGCTCCGAGTCTTTTGGAGACACTCGCTTCTCCCGTATGGATCAACGTTGATCCATTCACTTCCGCTTGGCTCGGGCTCACGTGGCTCCAAACATGCTCCCATTTTTCGCCAGGGGGGCCGGACGAAGATGGGGATCCATTAGGGACCGCGTGGCTGATGTTGTGGGTGGCAGGGGGTGGCGTGTAGGGCCTAGAGCGTACTGCGGGTGGTGCTGCGCAGTAGACCTTCACACCACCCGGTACGCGGCGGCGGTGTCGGGACAGATGCTCAGGTCAGTGCAGGAGGCGGTGATCGCACGTTTTCCCATTTTCAAGGCGTGATTGAGAAAATTGAGTCAGCCTGCGGTTGAAGGCATCAGATGTCAGTTGAAAGCAGGTGGTTCAGAGCACTGAAACACATGCTCGCGCCATTGATGAACATTTGTATATATAAGTAAGTTTCATTTTATTCGAGGTTGATTTCATTTTAATCGAATTCAGGCTTTGCTGTGTAGCAATTGCTATATTCACGGTATGACTCATGGTGTGACCATGGTATGACCCTGCCAGCGCACTCCCTGACTTTCTCTCTTGCCTGCGAGTTCAACGGTGTGTAAGCCTTTAAGCATCAGCCATGACGAGTGTTGTGGCTAATCAACCGAACAGTTCAAAGTTACAGTTCAAGAAGTTGAAGGTGTCGTCCTTCTTTCTTTTGTGCTTTGACCTTTAACATCTACCAGCCACAAGCTACCTCATCATACGCATTGCCATAAATCCCCCATCCAAAACTAAGATCCACTCAACTCATGGAGTGGCTCCCAAAACATTTGACATCAAATCTAAATCAATCGAAGAATTTGGTTGGCTTTCAGCTCCACTGTCTTCTTCATGAAATATAGCGGCTTGCCTAAGAGCGATGATGCAAAAAGGACATCATAAAGCTTGAACAAACATGATGCCACAGCATTCCACATTCCACACCAGATTTTGCCCAGTGGCGGGGTGAGAGCTCCTGTCAATGGCAAAGTTAGCCAAAAGAACGTTTTAGTGATGTGAAATGATGGGGCTTTCTGCCCAATCACACCACCAACTGTCAAAACAGTATTCACGCTTCGAAACAAAAGTTTGTAGGTTCCCTCTCCAATTTTGGCTTGGGACTCATTGAGATTGCAACAGCACTTGCCCGCTGGAAGAAGATGGGGCAAACAGAGAGACACAGAAACATTATATCATGTTCAGTTCAACCATCATGTGAGAGTTTGAACTCCAAACCTGTCAACAGGCTCAACGGAAAGAGTCCTATGATTTGTGAAAAAGACATTAGAAACATGTTTTCTTCATATGACAGAGTCATAGGAATTGATAGGAAATAGGAAAACAGAGAGCTTCACATTTTGCTGAGCGTCATGTGGTGCATTTTTGAATGCCCATTCGATCAGTAAATATTGATGACCCAGTTGATGACCCTCGCTGTGTGTTGCATCATCATGCTATTTTAGAGCCCATCTCCTTCTCAGCCTGCACATAGGCCACTCTCCAAGCTCTTGCGAGAGCCAAACTGGCCTCCAGCACCTGGTCAGAGTAACATGGACCATGCCATGCCACGGTTACAATGTATTTCCATGTCATGCTCCCCAAGTCCCCAACTGGCTAGTCTCATGTTAGCACCAGGCCTCTCGGGGAAAGGCAGATGCCACCGTGGTGTACTTCAGCATTGAAGACGATAGAGTGTATGAAAAGACTGGCACCGTCGAGTTGGGCTTGAGGATGAAGATGTCCTTCTCACCTTCCATTAACTTTCAACAAATGGCTGGAGTACACCTCCCAATTTGTTCTAGCACCACACCTCCTCCCTACAGACTGATCTTACTAGAGTTCTCAATAGAAACACAGGGCCGCTGGGTGTTCTTTGTGACGCAATGGCATTGATGGCCCGCCTTCAGAAGAGGCCCCTGGCCTGTCGCAAGAGTGGCCCTTGAGCTTCACGTCGACCATACCTGTCTCTTCCATCTCATGTAAGAGATTCCTGAGGGTACACGGTTCACTGTCAGTGGTAGTCTTTCCAGACTCTGGTGCAATCTCCAACACCACTTTCATGGCGTCATTGGTGGTGCGAAACTCGATCAGGTTGGACCACACATCACCTGTCAAGTAGCTCACTCATGACATATCATAACAGGTCTTACGTTGAAAACCATGGCAAGATTCAATAAGCTATCAATAGCTCAAGTGTGACAAGTCCGTGGGGCTGTGCTAGCCCAAGGTGAACAACACTGTTCTCGAGCTTTGAGATTTCATTTTGCACCCCAGAACTGATGGTAGCCGCACACAGTGCTCCATCACTGTGTGAACTAAGGCTTGCAACAGTTTCATCTAAGCTTCGGTGGACCCATAATTGGTCACAAATTTCAGCATAAACATAATATGCTTTCAAAATTCAAATCACCAAGATCTGACTCTTGTTGTCAGGCAGTGGTAATGGTGTCCTACGATTGCTTTGCGCGTGGCTTCGCCAAACGCCGGCGGCTGAGTTCAGATTGGGACAGTCCCTTCATGGCATTGAGCCGCTCTGGATGTGTCTTCCACCTGGGCTATTCAGTGACTGCCTAGAGATCCCCAGAGAGCTCAACAAACATCAGTCGTCAAACATTGAAACACAGGTTCTGCTGCAATAGGTTGGTTTAAACAATAGGTGCAAACAAACCACTCCGCCCTTGCTTTTGCCAAGATCTCTTTGGCCGGCATGTCAGGAAACTCTCGCTTCAAACGCTTTTGGTGTTCATGGATTACAGACCAGTAGACAGTGCGCAAAGTATCATCTCTCTTTGCCCCCGAACTGTCAGCATGCGTTTCCATGGACTCTCCTTGGTCACCCTCATTGTTCATGTCCTCCTCTCCCTCACTCTTGGGTGTGCAGGGTGGCAGGCGCAGGGTCTCCTGTGAAAGCGTCCCATGGCTTCGAACCTGGCACACTTCTCATTCAGAGAGGATCACATCGATCAATAGAAGCCCTAAGTTGGACATGTGTTTAAGAGACAGAAAGGTTGGAAAAGGAAAGGTTCTCTACCATGGATTTTTCATTTAGGTCATGTTCATGAGGCCATGATCATCCAGTGGTTGGTGCATAGGATTTCATGGAACAAGCGATCACCTCATGCTGGGAAGGCCTCTTCTGCAGCCTCTTCGACCTCCGGAACCTCCTCCGGTTCCTCAGCCTCCTCCGGGTGTGGAGCCCCCAGACCATGTATTGCCACGGGCAGGGTGCATATGATAAAGCGTTCAAAGTGCATGACAAGTAGTCACCACACATTCAATCATAGAGTACGGCATGGCTAGCTTGTTTACACAAAAAGCCATGTTTGTTTATTTAGTCTATTTCACAAGCAATCCTACCTCCTTCGGCTGTGGCTTTCCAGCGGACTTCTTTGCAGCAGCCTTGGGCACAACCTTTTGTGAAGCAGCCTTGGCCTTGGCCTTTGGTGCTCCCTTGGCTTTCTTAGGCGATGCCTTTGCCTTACCTGTCGCTTTCTTCTTAGGCGATGCCTTTGCCTTACCCTTGGCTTTAGGCGATGCCTTTGCCTTACCCTTGGCTTTAGGCTTGGGAACACTGGCTTGGGATGTATTGCTAGGGCCATCAGGTTTGACAGCGTCTTCCGGTTCCTTAGGTTGTACCTGTTCTGGCTCAACTGGTTTTCCTTTGCGCTGCTTTTTGGGTCCATCAGCCTCATTGTTGTTTGGCTTCCGTTTCGACTCACCTGTGACTGTGTTCACAGCCCTGTCCAGTTGTTCTTTGAGATTCTTCTTGGTTTCTTCAGAGAGCTTGTGGCTTGTAGAGCCAGGGGATGTTCCCTTGGCCCTCAAAGGCAATTCTGGCTTGGCCACAGGTTGCTGGGGCACATGTTTCTTGGCCACTTGTTGTTGTGGCGCAGCAGCAGTAGCAGGTGTTTCTGCACTCATGGGGCTCCGATTTGGCACCTGAGCACGGCAACCAAATGCCCAGGAATCAGGTTGGAATTTTGACACTATAATATGTATACATTCTATGAGCTTGTTGTTTTGTTAGATGCAAAGCCATGCCATACAACACAATTTGTTGGTACATAGGCATTGCACCCTGAGCAAAATCTCAGGAACAAACGTTCATCGGAGACGGTGTTACCAGTGCTCCAGGGCTCTCGTCCAACATCACATTGAGATCCTTCACGCAGGATGATTTTTGGATATAATATGATATTTAATAGCATATTCTACAATATATCAACGAAGTACTCTAATTGGGTGTCCTGTTTGAACCCGTGTTGGGCAAGCACAGCAGAAAGTGAAATTCCACTTGAAGCATCCATGATTCAGCTACAGGGACTGCCAAACAAGGCCAAATAGCCAAGGCGGTTGTTGGATCTGAAATGGCTGAGGTTGCAACTGCTGGCTGGATGGATCACAATTTCGAGGAGGGGCATGAAGTGTTTGGAAGACGCCGGAAATCGAACATAGAAAACATCAAGTGTTTTGGAGGCACAGCCACTTGAGGCAGCACATACTTTCAACACGACACGTGAAAACCCTGGCCTGCCCCAGTGTTCTCTCTCTCCATCTTGGCCACTTTAGTCGCAGCCAGCCAAGTTGATTTTCCATGTGCGATCAAGAACTCCTTCGTACCGATCTCCATATCTTGGTGGGCAACCTAGGGCATACTACAAACCAAGAAATGTATTGCAACCCCCCAAAGTGTTGACCTCGTATGCTTAGATTCCCTGAAACAAACCATTGAGGCACATGAAGCGAACCCTGGAACTTTCCAACCCAGGAACTAGGAAGAGTTTGAACTTCTGGTTGGGCACCATAGCAACCGACTCCGAATTTCTGCGAACTGCATGAACCAGAAAGAGTGAAGTCCCTGGTTGCCGCCCAGGAAAGCGGCACTCCACCACATACGAATCCATGAGGCCCTGCAACTCCCTCGGTTCCGAGGACCAGCTTGCCATGTCCTCCTCCTCTTCTGGCTCCGCAGGCACAATGCCAGTCTCTGTCGTCACAGGGTGGGGAGTGATGTTCGCACCAAACCTTAGAAAGGCATCAAGAAAGAAGACCAGGTTGTTGAAGCACGAGTGTAAGTATCATGTGATTGGTGATTGATATCAGTTCCTACTCAAAGGCCTTGTTTCTTCTGGAAGACTTATGGGGATCTTTACGTTTTTTTTGGGCTTCATGCGTGTCATAAGCATTAATTGTGTGACTCTTTTTGCAAGGGATTGATCTTTAGCTGGCTGACCTTCTATTTCTCCTTGGAAGGATTGTTGCAACACTTGAACAAAATATAACTTAGTAGGATTTCAGAT